ATATATATATATAATTATATAAAACCTAACCTAATAAAGGATTCGCAGAGTCATGTACAAAGTAGATGAATAAAGTTGGTCAATCATAACTAAAATTCTTCGTGTATGACAACAGATAGACTAGAAATCGACGGATAAACGAAAGGAAACAATGAAGTATTTGAAAGACTCTTTAATTCAGGAGGAAGGGAGGTTAGGAAAATTAAACTGTTCAACATACCGCCGTCGAGCCTTTCTTGACTGCTTCCTGAGCATATTCCACCTGGAGCAGATGCCCATCTGGTGAAAAAACCGTGATCGCTCTATCGTATCTCGCCGACATCGTTTCGGCTGTCTAAAATATTCACCGTCCTGCAGGAAACTCAAAATGACTCCACCGTTTTCCGAGTAGTCGATCATTCGACTCGTTTCGGAGTTCAGCATTCCGGACGCGAACATGACAACGCATTTCCCTAGAAATGTACCGTCTCGGATTGGACAAACAAATCCTCATGAAACGAATCCTCATGAAACATCGCGAAGAATTCCTCGTTTCCTATAGGCTTTATCAATGGACAGTTTCTCTGAATTGATTGTGTATGTATCTTGAAATGAAAATTAATCAAAAATAATCAACTTCATTAGACGTTGATAAAAAAAATTATTATAAATATTTTAATAATTTTGCTTATTTTTGTCATTTTCATCTCATTTCAAGATATATAAGCGCACTCCGATTTTTATTTGCATCAAGGATATAGATTACGTTGATTGTCTTAACAATCATTTCATCTGGATGTAACTCTGAGATCACGAAGACTAAAATAAAATTATCATAAAGATTGTAGCGACTCATTTTTCTTTTTCGATTTTAATATATGATAATATACTTCGCTTTTTTATAAACTTAAAAATTTTGTAATAAAATAAAAAGTAACTTGATTTTATATGTGATATACATTTTATGTATGTGAATCATGATAGTAAAACATTACATTAAATATTCATATAATAATAATATTATTGACTATATTATATGTAGTGGAAAAAATTATACATATTAGATAAAATCAAAACATGCACATATAAGTATATATTATATTATACGTAAAATGCACATACTTAGTCAGTTAATTATATCTGACAGCCCGTACGTGACATGGCAAGCATGTTACTATAATGAGCTAATTGTTGCATGTTATATTAGGTCTTATAATAGTTAATATTCGAAATATGATTGACACGCTATATTCTACGCGATATCTCTGCGATGTAATGTATATTGATAAAAATATCATTTTATATTAAAAATATAAGTATAATTTAGTTTCAAAGTACTAACCACTCGGAAAATTCAATATGCAATTCATTGAAGTCAAATTATTCTTTCTTACATTGTAGCGATATGCAAAAGACTTATCATATTTTTTGACTTTAAAACGAAAATAGAACAAATCTCTTTAACGCACATTGTTATTAACGTATTTTTTAAATCTGATTTTAACTTAAGATTTAATTAGTGATTGTATAGAAATATTTAAAAAGCATATTTAAGATAATTTATATTATAAAT